GACAAATATTAAATCAATAGTAATTCTAATATTTGAATTATAACTATTGAAATTCAGCTGAATGTCAGAGTTTTGAAAAAATATAGAACAGAACTGAAGCAAAATATCCCTAACTTGTGACTCNTCTCTCTCTCTCTCTCTCTCTCTCTCTCTCTCTCTCTCTCTCTCTCTCTCTCTCTCTCTCTCTCTCTCTCTCTCTCTCTCTCTCTCTCTCTCTCCATGTAGTGGGAGAGAGAGAGAGAGAGAGAGAGAAGAAGAAGAAGGAGGGGGAGGAGGAGGAGGAGGCTGCCCAGCCACCTGAATACTTTCCCTGCATGTGACCTGCCTGCTGAGAGGGACTGACCATCATCATCTCATGTGAGCTGCTTGGTGAGAGAAACTGATCACCACTCCACCATGTGTCCCAGCCTAGCAGAGGTGCCTAAGTGAGGGATCACTGTGGACCGGCAGCCATACCAAGAAGGCCAGGAGAACCCGGACTCCAGTGGCCCTTTGGGGGATAGCACTACAAGTGGGGGCTCATCTGGGATTTCCTTCTGGCCTTTCTCCAGAATGGGGTGGTGATCCCATCCAGGGACATGAGCCAAGTGAGCGAAATGGACTCCACCACCATCACTAAGTGGTGTGAGGACAAGAACAGTGAGGTAAAGTTGAGCATAGCAATTGATTGTGGATGCTTGTCCAGAAGTGCGAATTCTCCAGACAAGGAGGACCCTTGTCCCTGACCAATGGGTATACATGGTAGACACAAACGTGGACCAGGACTCCTCTCACTCTTATCTGCTATTGGTGTGGAAGAAAAGGGTTCCAAAGTGCTTTAGGGTTGAGAGCCTTCAATTGACTGAGGACACCAGGGCAAGGGTGATACACCTGACTCCATGGGCCACACCTTCAGCAAAGACATTGGGCCTCCAAGAGGAGACACGTATTTTGATTACCATAGGGCAGCAGAGGCAGGATCTGCCCAGGCCATGGGGAGCCTGACACCCATCCAAACCCTGACTGGCAACTACTGTGCTGGGGCTGGGTACAAGAAACTATGTATCTTTTCAGGGATACAACCAGTGCCACAGGAGGAGGAAGAATGCAAAACCTGGATGGAGCAGGCAGTAGAACGGGCCAGGATGGAGCAACTTTCACAGGGTGCTTTAGTCTCAGACCCAGTCTGGAATCAAATAAAGACTGAAGCCAAAAGGAACACCTGGGTGTATCATGAGCTCATAAGGGGAGTTAGGGAAACAGAAGTGGTGGAGGAGGCCAAAGAGGCTATAGCCGATTTGCCACCAGAATAGCCCTCAGGCATGGGAGTGAGGAAAGCTGGAGGTGATGATGCCCAGCTCACTACTATGCAAGCTCAAATATCCAACTTAACTAAGATGATGGCCTCATGGATGGCAATGGGTGGTTTGCCCTTGAATGGAGGTCTGGCTAGACCAGTCAGTGGGGCAATGGGCTCTTTCACTTCAGCTGATAAGTTGGTAAGGCCAGTGTTCTGTATAATTATGGGGGTGCAGGGCATTACAGGTGCATTTGTACAGAGCTGCAAAAACTATGAAATTTGGCCCAGTTGGGAAACTACAGGGAGCCAGTGAGGGAGCGAATTGGGTGCCCAGCAATACTAGCTAGCTCCAATCAAAAGGGTGGTGAAGGGCAGCCTTGGGCATCACCCTTTGCGAATGAAGTTTTCCCAAAGCCCTCGGTGATAGGAGTGACAGGAGCAATCTCATTAACAAAGGACTCCTAGAGCCCAGAGCCTACCAGAGTCAAAGTGATGAAGGTTTAGCAACAGCCTTCAGGGACTCAAGTATGGGCTGTCAGACCAGATGCTGTGTCTCTCACTGCCAAAATTCCTAAACAGTTGGTTGGCCCTTCTTCAGTGGTGCCAGTACAAGTGGAAGGCATCTACACAAGGGCCCTCTTGGACTCAGGTGCACAAGTGACATTACTCTACTGGGATTTCTATGACAGGAACCTGATGCAAAAGTTGGGCGATTTGAACATTTGGGGCATTGGAACAGAGAAGTTCCCATACGATGGGTATCTACCTATCCAGCTAACATTCAGATCCCCAGTTGTTGGATACACTGAAACCTTCAACACCCTGGCCATTGTCTCGCCCTCCAGAAGTATCCAAGGCTCACTGATTGTGGGGATGAACACCAACTTAGTTAGGCATCTGCTCACCCCAATTGTCCCATTAAGAAATGACTCGGTGATAGGGGACGTTCATCCTGCACTGCAGGCAGTATACCAACACCTGATGCAAGAGCAACAGGCCCCAGCAGAAGGTTTGGGGTGACTGTGGAAATTGGACCAAAAGAAGAGAGTACTAAACCAGGGGAGGTGGCATGTCTACGGATCTCTGTCAGAGTGGACTGGAAGCAGCCTGGGTCCTACTTCCTCCTTGAATCTGACCCCAGAAGACAGAACATCAGAGTGGAGGTAATCCCAGAGGTGGTCTCCACAAAGGCCCTGTGGCAGGCCAGAGGACGGATCTTGGTCAGAGTCCGGAATATTACCAACTTCCCTGTGAAGTTGAAGGACCGGATATTGTTGGGACAAGTGAGCCCAGCCATCCCAATTGTACTGCCTGATACTAGGAAAAACACTGAGGATGAGGTTTCAACAGATCAATTCTACCCAAAGAACACACAGCTTTCCCAAGAGGGACAAGAGAGGGCTAAAGACCAGGTTTTGAGGTGGCAACATCTTTTCTCGAAAGATGAATTTGACGTGATATGCACTAATCCGTCTACAAGAAGATAAGCCTTTCTGAGAGAGGTCTTGGCAGATTCCCTTAAGTAACTTAGATGACCTTAGAGAGCATCTAGTGAAATTGAAGAGGACTGGGATCATCTAAGAATCTCGAAGTTCCTACGCCTCTTCCATAGTGATAGTCCAGAAGAAGAATGGGTCCCTGAGAATGTGTATAGATTACCGTACCCTCAATTGGAGCATCATTCCAGATCAGTACACAATTTCTCGAATCAAAGATGTGTTGCATTTTTTATCAGGAGCAAAATGGTTTAGTGTGCTGGATTGGAGAAGTGGCTATCACCAGATTCCCATGCATCCAGATGATAGAGAGAAAACTGCTTTCATCTGCCCCTTTGGGTTCTATGAATTCAATCGAATGCCTCAAGGATTATCAGGGGCCCTGGTGACCTTTCAGAGACTCATAGAGCAGACTGTGGGAGACATGAACTTGATAGAGGTGCTAGTTTACCTAGATGATATCATTGTCTTTGGCTAGACTCTTGAACAACATGAGGAGCACTTGGAAAAGGTTCTAACCAGGCTCCATGAAAAAGGATTGAAGCTTTCATTAGAGAAATGCCTATTTTACCAACCATCTGTCACATATCTCGATCATGTTGTCTCTGCAGAAGGGATATCAACTGATCCCATGAAGCTTGAGGCTGTCACTTCCTGTCCCAGACCCCAAAATGTGGCTGAACTGCAATTGTGTCTAGGGTTCTGCTCATATTATTGGAGGTTTGTTGAAGGATTTGCAAAGATAGTCCATCCTGTCAATGATCTGTTGAAGAATGAAGAGGTAGAGGATGTGTTTGGTCTTTCAGACCAAGTCCATCAGAATAAGGGACCCAGGAAGTCTTGAGAATCCATTCATGCAGAGTGGACTGAGCAGTGTGAGCAGGCCTTTGGCCAATTGAAGAGGAGACTCACGAATGCTCCTGTCTTGGCCTATACAAACCCTAACCGGCCATATGAACTACATGTTGATGCTAGTCGGGATGGTCTTGGGGGATACTGTATCAAGAACATGATAAACATCTTAAGCCCATCACATACCTCAGCAGGGGCCTCACTTCAGCTGAAAAGAACTATCCCACCCATAAGCTGGAGTTCCTGGTGCTTAAGTGGGCGGTAGTAGATAAGTTAAAGGATCACCTATATGGGGCAGCATTTGAGGTTAAGACAGACAATAACCCTGCTCACAACAGCCAAGCTTGATGCTGTAGAGCATTGGTGGCTAGCTGCCCTCTCCAGGTTCAGGTTCAGCCTGAGGTACTGGCCGGGTGTGGCGAACAGGGATGCAGATGCCCTGTTGAGGAGGCCTCACAGTCCTAAGGAAAAGTTGGAGAATGGATCCGATTGACCCCTGATGGTATTCAAGCCCTGTATCAGGGGATAGAACACTGAGTTTGAGGAGCAATTGGGGCAGAAGCAGTAGGAGTCACTACCACAGGTGTTCCTAAGCTGTACTGCAAACCCATTCAAGTTAGAAGGGAGGGTATGACCAAGAAAGACTTGAAAAGGCAGAATACCACCTTTGTGGCCTGTCTGCAAGGGCCTTGAGAAGTGGTCAGCGAGAGGCCCTGTTAACTGACCTGTCAAGAGGAGCTCGGTTGATGTATAAAGAGTGGGACTGGTTTCAGCTCCAGGGAGGTGTGGTTTATTGGAAGAGCCCTTTGGATGGGCTCGAGGAAAAGTGGCAACTGTTGCTCCCAGAAAACATAGGGAAGCGGTGCTGATTGTGCTACATGATGAGCATGGGCATCTGGGGCCAGAGAAGACCTTCAAGTTAGGGAAGGATCACTTCTACTGGCCTTGTATGAAGATGGAGGTTGGAGACTACTGTTGATCCTGCCTGCGCTGTATCCAAAGAAAGACCCTACCACCCAGGGCCACCCCGATGGGCCACCTGCAAAGTCACGGGTCCATGGATCTAGTTTGTGTCAACTTCCTGTGTCTGGAACCAGATACAAGTGGATAGGGGAATGTATTGGTTGTGACTGATCATTTCACTCGCTATGCACAAGCCTTCCCAACAAAGGATCAGTGTGCCACACAGTAGTCAAGGTACTTGTAGAAAAGTTCTTTGTACACTATGGGCTACGTCAGTGCATATATTCCAATCAAGGCAAAGATTTTGAAAGCAAGCTTTCAAAAGCAAGCAACTGCTGGACATACTGGGCATTTGGAAGTCATGCACCACTCCCTTGTGGGTGCACAAGGAGACCCACAAACTGAGAGGTTTAATCGTACTCTTCTGGACATGTTAAGGGTGCTGACTGCAGAGAAGAAGCAACATTGGACACAACATATTTCTACTGTTGTGCACGCATATAATAGCATGAAAAATGATGCTACGGGGTATTCTCCGTATTGACTGATGTTTGGCAGGGAGGCTCAACTGCCAGTAGATATAGCCTTTGGCATCTCAACGGACGAAACCTCCCTTAATTCACACTGCAACTATGTGGACAAGTTGAGGAGGAATCTGAAGATGGCATATGAGAAGGCTCTAGCCGTTTCAGCGGTCCAAGGACAGAGAAACAGGACAAATTATGATCTGAAGGTGAGATTCAAGATTTGCAACCTGGCAATCGGGTATTATTGAGAAATCTGGGCATTCCTGGGAAACATAAACTGGTGGACTGATAGAGTTCTCGGCCATATATTGTCAGTGATAAGCTACATGGATTTCCAGTGTACCAGATTCAAATGGAAGAGAGTTCAGGGCCTCTGAAAGCACGGCACCGAAATCATCTATTCCCTTGAAATGAGGCAATACGAGCCTCTCAGCCATCTGCTCCAAAAGCAACTGAACCTTGCCCGACAAGGACGAGACGAGTGAAAACCTGCTCCATCTGTGGCAGGAGAACAGGATGACGGCGGCCTCGGCGGCCTCGGCGGCCTCGGCGGCGGCGGTGGTG